CTGGCAGTGTCTCTGCCTCAGCCTTCTGCTTCCCAGTATTCTCCTCTCTCCTTGTCCCACCTACTTCCTGCCTTGTCACTGGCCAATCAGTGTTTTATTTATTGACCAATCAGAGCAACAGATTTGACATACAGACCATCCCACAGCAGAAGTCTCTGAGTCCAAATGGCTGCTGGAAGATGCAGGGACCAGCTGTGATGCCTATAAGGGTTTAGACCACCTAAGGTACCTGGAAAGGACACTCTACCCTGCTGAGCTGCCTGTAGACTATGCAGCATGCTCCAGGTTCCCAGCTTTGTGAGCTGTCACCCACGCTGGGGTAGACCTTGAAGATGCTGCTGCCTTTGAGTAATTTCTGTTCCTGTAAGTAACCCCTGGCCCATATATTCCCTGTAAGTAACCCTAATCAAACTCATTGGCTCATCAAGTTGGACTTCAGCAGCATTCTTTGTTCTGAGTGGGATCCCTATCTGGGGTGAGTAGATGTGTATTTTGTCTCCCTAAGAAAAGTTTCTTCACGCAAAAGTACATAATTCTCTTTGTTGGGTCTTTATGTGGATTGGGTATCAGGGTTAACTGTGGCCTTGTAAAACAAACTGGGCAATGAACTGTTTCTATTTTATGGAATAATTCGAGGAGTATTGGTATTAACTCTTCTTTGAACACCTGGCAGAATTCTACACTAAAACCACCTGGTCCTGTGCCCTTTTGGTTGAGAGACTTTTATGACTGCTTCTATTTCATTAGGGGTTATAGATCCATTTAAATTGCTCCTATGATTATGATTTAACCTGTTAGTGGTTATTGAGAAAGTTATCCCCCTCCTTTAGATTTTCCAAATTAGTTCAATTTGGTGGACTACAGGTTATGATTCTCTAGATTTCCTCTGTGTGTATGGTGTGTATTACTGATGACCCCATTTTCATTTCTGACTTTGTTAATTTGGGTTTCTCCCTTGTAAGAAAGGACCATTAGGCTACAGTGATTTCTAAGACTTTCCCCTGTTCTAGCTGTGTGGATTTTCTAACAAAGCTCTGCATAGAGGTCTCAAGCAAGCTGAAGAGACCATTATATTCCTCCCCTATGTTCAATTATGAAAAAATGGGACCAATCAAGTTGTTCTCAGAAATATATGAAAAGATGTACAATTTAGCTTTGGAAACTGTGAACTGTTGATAAATAAAATTATAATGTTTCATTTTCCAAAGGAAAGAATGTCAGAAATTGTCATTATTTGCCCTAATTTTTTTTTAAAAAAATATATTTTTAGGTTCTCCAAATTTTGGTTTTGTGAGGGTTTTTTCTCCCTCTGTGAGTCAGAACAGAGGGATGCAGTTCTAATTATATCCCAGTTATATCCCACAACTTTTCTTGCTGAGTTCAAATTTTCCCAAGCCACTGAGAGGAACCACCATGTTTATCCAAGCCCTTGCCTACCAAGGGGCTGAATAGAGAACAGGTGTCACTCCTGGAACCAGTCACCCTGTGCAGCATGAGCTACATCCTTCTTGGTGTGTTAATGAGCTGCTCAAGTGGTTCTGGCTGTGTATTAGACATATTTATTTATTATAAATAAATTAGACATATTTATTTATTTAAAGCATCAATGCTCGATTCAACTCCAGACTAGTTGAGTCAGAATATTTGGAGAAGGTATTGGGAATTGACATGTAGTAAAGGCTTACAAGTGATTTTTATGCACAGTAAGATATACACAGTTGTGTTAGAATATGTACTACAAATTACAGTGCCTGGCATTTTTTTTTTCAAAATATTTTACATTGGATTAAAAAGTCTGCCTGGAGTGTTCACTTTGTGGCACATCGTTCAGAATAGCTATGAATGTTGCCCAACACAAAATCACAAAATTACTTAAAACATTATGAGATTTTTTTTCCTGTGTGAACTTTGGCAACATCATGTCACAGGCAGAACAAATATAAAGATACATTTTTATGAAGACTTCTTATGACTTAACAGAAATTACAAAACTATCTCCCAAAATATATTAGGCCAAACCTAAAGTCACAATTTCAAAGCAGTTCAAGAATACAGTAATTGGGAGATTAAAATCAACAATGTAATCCCAATAAAAATTGTGTGAAATGAATGTTTATGATATGGAAAATGGCCATCATATTATTTCATTAAAAGTACCAGGTTAGAAAATAATATTGACATGAAACCAAAAGAACAAATACATTAACGTATAGATACCAGATTGGTGGCAGTTAAGCACAGTGCAGTGTTAGTGGTAACTACCTTCTCGTCCATATGATTCTGTTCTAAGGCTCCTCTGCTTTCAGTTTCTCATGCCGTGTGCTAGGTGCATCCCTAATAATAGAGTGTTTGTCGATTCAGTTTGATTTCTAATCTGTAACCTAAGAGCCTCTATCCTTTGATTATCTGAATTAATTCTATCGGTCATTACTGTATGTTTAAATCTACTTGATTTTGTTCTAGTTCCCAGGCCTTCTGGCTACTGACTCCAGCTCCACCCATACCTACTACAGTGATTTAATGGGGGTGTGTCTGGCTGTTATAGATAGGATGTCATGTATTCCAGGCTGGCCTAGAACTTGTTATATAGCCCAGGATGACCTTGACCTTCTGATCCTCTGTCTTTACTTCCTAAGTGCTGGGATTACAGGCCTGTGCCACTATACCTGGTTTTATGTAGTGCTGGGGAATGGAACCCATGATAGGTAAGCACTCTGAGCTACATGCCAAGCCCCCAAGTGTCCTCCAGCATCTTTCATTTACTCCTCTACCTTATAAGCTCTAGTTTTTTTTCTTAGTGGTTTGTCTTAAAATTCTTAATGATATTCAGGTGAGGTAGTGGCTCAATTCTGTAATAGCATCACTTGGGAGACTAAAATAATGAGTTCAGGACTAGCTTGAAATACATAGTAACACCCTGTCTCAAACCCTCCCACTTCCTCCCCCACTCTCTGCAAAATAAAAACAAAAATCTTAATCACTGATTTGTGGGGCTCTACTATGGAACTATAAAAGGAGTCTGTTATCAACAACCGTTTGCTTATGACTCAGGCATCAGTCAACGTTGCTATAGTATTGTATCATTTCTTCAATGTGCATTAGTGAGCATTCTGCTGTAAGACAACACACCATTGTCTTCACTTACACCTCTCATTCCATTCTGTGGATTGTGTATTTACATTAAATCACCCCAGATTTGCCAGAGGGAGCTCCTTCAAGCCCTATGTATAAAAGACACTACTTATTCCAAAATAGTGTTCTGTGATTGGCGAGACTCATAGGATGCCCTCCTCTTGTACCAAATATTATCTCCTCAGAAAATGCATTAGGAGTTCAAATTTTAAAATATCGTACATATAAGCAGTAAGGTAAATCTTCCAGTTAAAAAAAAAGTTATTTAAGTTGTTTTAGGGATGTATGTCAAGATCTACTTTGTTAATATAGGTATCAAGAAATGAAACTGAAGAAAAACCATGGCACATTTAATGAGAACAAATACAGTTATCTGAAGTACTTCTGATAATTTATCCAAAGACTGAATTACAAAAGACCACCATTTCATCATTGACATTCGAGTTCATTCACCTTTATCCCTGAAATTCCAAAGAATTTTCAAGTTGCAAATATAGACTCTTCTAAAACAGGGAGATACAGGAAGCCCTTGCTACATGTATCTGTCAGCCCACATAGACAGGACTGTCAGATGTTTGCCCCAATTTCACCCTTTATCCAGCGTTCCACAGGGATGACACAGATGGAAAGCACAGAACCACAATGATTATCAGAGGTTCTAGATGATACTGTCAACAAACCCTTCATCTTACAAAAAGGTAACACAGGTCTGGAGAAGTAAACTATTGTAGACAGAGTTACTGGAAAAGCTGGACTTCAAACAGTTTTCAGAATTTCAACAGGAGCTATTTTAAGCATGCCACTTACAGTAGTGAGATTAACAAGTCAGTCCACAAAAAAGCTATTTATCCCACAGTGTAGCTGAAACATTTAGCGATGAACAGGCATCGGGGGGATGGGGGGAGAGGGGGTGCTGCAGCAGTCACTACAAAAGTGGCCTAAAAGTCACTAAGCTGAAAATAAGGTTTTAAAGCTAATGAATTTGGAGCTACATGAAGTAAAAAAAAGAGTCCATCAGTGTCCCTCTGGATTCCATAGGAAGTTTACTTATGGGCTCTTTAGAGGGATGGAGCCCTGTTTCTTAACCACATCTAATGTCACCCAGCAGCCCAGGGCTTTCCTTCCTTGTGACAGGCACAGATCATCAGGACAATTCAAACTAAGGCACAGCCAACACCATCTGGGGCCATTTTATGAAGGGCTAGCTCTCAATAAAGAGTTGGCAATCCACCCCAAGAACGATATGAGGAAAATAGTCCGTATTAAAGATAACCCAGCATTCAAGGACACTGAATTGGATTTTCTTGAAACACAAGGCTTTACACAAGTCTATAACTTCATCTCATCTCATTTCATAACATGTGAGGTTTTCAAAGATATATTCTTTACAATCAAATCCAGATGAATGGATTTGCAAATCCAGAACCACCCATGGCATGCATGGCTCCTCACCTTTACCTATCTGGTATGAGCTTAGGTCATGGGTCCCTTTCCTGTTCTTTTTCATCTTCTTCCTTTACGTAGACTTGAGGCTGAAACAGGAGAATTAATCCTCTTGTGTCTATGCAGATCTCTCTCGCACTAAAATGGGCACCTGTACCTCAAGCAAAAAGTGGGTTCTCAGAGGTGTCAAGAACTGCCCTAGCATTAACTCAAAGATGCTACTGGTGTGCTATTTTAAATCTTCACTGAGGAAATAAAATTTTCATGCTAGCAGATACATTTCTTGAAAGTCATATAGGGAAGAGAAAGGAAACGTCATATTTACCTTAAACTTGAAAGCACAATATTCTCTGTAGTTACAAACTATTAAAGTTCATGACTTTCCTCAAGTGCTTATCAAACAGGTTTCACAGCACTGTACATACCCTGAGTGGCCGTTGGAGGTAGCTTGAGCGTATTATCTAACTTCTCCCAAAGATAAGTGGGCCGAGGGATGCCTTCCTCTGAACTACACAGAAGGATGACGTCACTGCCGATGTCCTGGGATCCTTGGATTTGGCAGAGTGGAGCAGAAGGGGGAACTGTCACGGGAAGAATAAGTAACACGAATTCACTTTTACTGAGAGCCAATGAGACAGGAATATCTACCACTGGGGGACCACAGGCAACAACGATGGCTCACTTGGGGAGACACCAGGGGACGATCAAGCATCCCACTCCCAGGGAATGGTGATGGAAACAAGGCTTGCAAGTGCCATAGGCAGGAAGCAAATCTACAAAAGGAGCCATGGCTTTTTGGTTACATTTTAAGGTATCTTAGAGTCTTGGTTTGGATGCCCCCTCTAAAGAAGGATTCTTAAGAGCCTTCAGGTCAACACGCTGCCTTTAATGGCATTGCTGAAAAGACATATTCAAACCCATCTCAGGAGCAGAAATCGACCCCGCCAGCCCGACGGCAGTCCCCTAACAGAGCCCGCTTCAGTCAGGCCGTCTGTTATTTTACAAAGACTAGATGGCCCCGCTCTGTAGCGATTTCAGCTTTACGATGCTTCAGCTTACAGTGAGGCTCAAGTTAGAGAAAGCTAACAACGAGGTAGGGAACACTTCAAAATCCAAAACATTTTCCGTCCCTTCAAGGCTGACAAGGTCGTAAGTAACAAGAACACAAGAGTCACCAGAGCAACACCAAAGAAAGGAAGCGTAGGTTCACACCGGCACAAAAGCATGAGCATATAAATGAACCCCACGGCACGGAGCTCCAGCTTGGTGGGGCAGGGACCACTGGAGTTTATGTATGTGTGATGACGGTCTTAATCCTAACGCCTTCTCAATAAATGATTTCACCCCTTCCGAAATACACGAAAGTGCAAAATGAGTTAGAGACATACAGAGCAATCAGAAAGTGAGTGAGTGGAAGAAGAGACTCCCTCTTCCAGAGGGTATGGGGGTGTAAGTAACCAGAGGGTATGGGGTGTAAGTAACCAGAGGGTATGGGGGTGTAAGTAACCAGAGGGTATGGGGGTGTAATTAATCAGAGGGTATGGGGTGTAAGTAACCAGAGGGTATGGGGTATAAGTAATCAGAGGGTACAGGGGTGTAAGTAACCAGAGGGTATGGGGTATAAGTAACCAGAGGGTTTGGGGTATAAGTAACCAGAGAGTATGGGGTGTAAGTAACCAGAGGGTATGGGGTGTAAGTAACCAGAGGGTATGGGGTGTAAGTAACCAGAGGGTTTGGGGTATAAGTAACCAGAGGGTATGGGGGTGTCAGTAACCAGAGGGTATGGGGTATAAGTAACCAGAGGGTATGGGGTATAAGTAACCAGAGGGTATGGGGGTGTAAGTAATCAGAGGGTTTGGGGTGTAAGGAACCAGAGGGTATGGGGTGTAAGTAACCAGAGGGTATGGGGGTGTAAGTAATCAGAGGGCATGGGGGTGTAATTAATCAGAGGGCATAGGGGTGTAAGTAACCAGAGGGTATGGGGGTGTAAGTAATCAGAGGGTATGGGGGTGTAAGCAACCAGAGGGTACAGGGGTGTAAGTAATCAGAGGGCATGGGGGTGTAAGTAATCAGAGGGTATGGGGGTGTAAGTAATCAGAGGGTATGGGGGTGTAGGTAATCAGAGGGCATGGGGGTGTAAGTAACCAGAGGGTATGGGGTGTAAGTAACCAGAGGGTATGGGGTGTAAGTAATCAGAGGGTATGGGGGTGTAAGTAATCAGAGGGTATGGGGGTGTAAGTAACCAGAGGGTATGGGGTGTAAGTAATCAGAGGGTATGGGGGTGTAAGTAACCAGAGGGTATGGGGTATAAGTAACCAGAGGGTATGGGGTGTAAGTAACCAGAGGGTATGGGGTGTAATTAATCAGAGGGCATGGGGGTCTGGGAAGGCATCTCACTGGCAGAATGCTTGCCTAGCACACATAAGGTCCAGAACTACACAAAAGAGGGTGAGGGGTATGGGTCTGCTGTGCTGGGCTAAGGCAGCCTCCTGGACTCGGTCCATTCAACATTACCACTATGGTACTGTGAAGCAAAACCTAAAGTAATTATTTTGAGATGACATTCACTATAAAGTAAAGGATTTTGTTCTACCTTAAAAAAATGTTTTTAAGCTTGGATAGTGTAGGAAATCGGTTGCTCAGTTATCATGTAAACTTCAGAATAGCAACTATTTCCTTTAGTACTCCATATTGTACTCAGAGTACTTAGAACTATATATAGCTTTAATATAATGAATGTTATCTTCAGAAGATACACCTCCAGTCTGGTCCTTAGCTTTCAGAATTACTTGAATACTGGGAGAACAGGGCACCAAGGATTAAAGCACATTCTCCCTATTGAGGAAAAACATCAGTATCCTCAAATAACTCAACAGTGGGAGAGGAGGAAAGGGGTGAGGAGAGGGCTAGACAGGACATGGAGATAGATGCTGGGACCTGAACAGAAGGAGGAAGGGCCTTCTCTGAGTACTTCTTCTTCTGTCCAAATGAGGAATTCACCCCCTCTACCACAAGAATCTACTTAGACCACTTCTACAAGCAATCCACCTGAGAGACAGGAGAACTGAGACATCTAACAGCTGCAGGGAATAGAATTTGGTGCTGAAGAGTCAAGCCACATTCTATGCTGGCTTGAATGAGCAGATCCAAATTTTAATCTAAACATTGCTCATTTCCTGTCTTAAAGGACAAGGCCCTACATCAGTTTGGTCTCATTTTTCAGGTGATAATCTAATGTATGATAGAAACAAGGATGTCTTTAAGAGTATAACGAAGTAGAGTTAAAATTATACCAGGTCCACAAGTGCAAGTTGAGAGCTATGGTGACCCCACTTCCTGTCACGGATGTAGTCAGTAAAAACATTATCCTCACATATGCTGACACCTCTACTTTTTACTCACAACAAATTATTCATGACTGAGTTTTACCACAACAGAAGGCTGCTGTCCTACAGGACCTTAAAGATAGTTTTTATGTCACCCTTCATCCACTGCCAAGAAATAGCATTAGGTAAATTTAAAGACCATCTGGAGATTTAAGAATGGGAATCATAGAGAAGTCGAGGGGCATTGTGGGTAAGAAGGCAGGCAGGGAAGGAACTAAGACCACAGGGAGGGAGCAGAGAAATAAACATGAAGGACGTAAGTAAATATGCTTTAGAGCAGATTTGTAATTGAAGCCTGAGGTAGTGGGACTTGTCTGTCACTCACCTAACACTGTGAGGCCAGCAACCCCAATGTTCCTGCCCCCTCTGTCTGGAAGGTTGTTCACCAAGCACTGGTAGGTGCCCGTATCTGACAGCTGAGTGTTATTGATGAAGATGGAGACATTGGTAGCAGGCATGGTGCCTGTAAATCCTACCCTCCCCTGGAACCTGGGGGCACCGTCAAACATCTGTCCACCCTGATAGAGAATGACCTGCGAAAGGAAGCAACATGTAAGTAAACTGGCCATGGTAGGCCCTTCTTGGCACATAACCTAGTAGATAGAACCAAATGTACCTGCAACAGAAAGTGGAAATTTTAATTTCTCAGGGTTTGTCAACAGCTTTTGGTGACTGCCCCATCCATGAGCATCTTAGGACTCTATAAACTCTCACAGCATAATTAGAATCACTTTTCCCTTCCTTAATTTATCAGAACATAGAAAATACCTTAAATGCAACCAGACTCTCAACACGTAAATATTTCTACCAGTGAAAAGGTTAATGGTGAGATGAAATCCAAAAGGTATTTGCATTGCTGTTCTCATACTAATTAGGCCACAGAATGACAGATCACTCACAGGCTGAATATCCACATCATAAAAGGAAGGGAACATTGCAAGCCCATGACTACTGTGCTTGCCAACTTATCAGAGCTAACAATTATCAGAGCTAACTATTCTGGGGAGAAACACAGCCTATAATATAGTAGAAAGCCCCCGGGGGTTGAAAATGGAGAGGGGCCTATCAGGATCTTCATGTGCATGTGTGGGAAACCTGAGTTCTTCTTTTAAACACTTTCAAACCATCATTGATGCTTAAAATGGTGTGATTCAACATGATCCCAAAAGCTTACTCTCCTGACAAAGTTTCATGGTTTGGAGATATACTGTATCTATGTATGCAATTTTCAACTAATAAATTAAAAAATAATAAATTTAAAAGAACTTTCTATAGAATTTTGTGCCAGAAAATTTACTTCACTAAATACACTAAGTAGTAAGATAAAATCAGAAGAGCTTCAGAAAATGAATGTCATCTTTGTAAATAAAACTGTGGTGGTTACCACAATTAATTAATTTTATAGTGGGTATCTAAGACTAATTTATTTCCTGAGATTAATTAATTTATTAATTTATTTCCTTGTCAGATCATGAACTAAGTGCACACTGACCACGTGATACAGATTTCTGGAGGAGCTTCCATTTTTACATGTGTCCTTCTATGTGGCACACTCTCACTCTCATTTGTATGAGAGTCTGAGTTGGCTGGCAAGCCTACTGTGTTAGGATGCATGTTGACTGGTAAACCTACTGTGTTAGGATGCATGTTGACTGGTAAACCTACTGTGTTAGGATGCATGTTGACTGG